TAATACTAACTGATTATACAAAGATTAGCACTTAATGTACTTAATTTTACTATACATTAATTTAAATTTGATTCCTTAAAGTACCTTCATATTTACACATGGATTGGTAAAATAATATTTCAATACAAAATTAATTTGTTCTGGATTGATAAAAACAAGACATTTAAACAAAATTTTGCTCATTGTAACAATTTACAGTTATAAAATATTAATATTTATTAGATTCTGAATGAGTAGTGAGGGATCTATTGGTTTTAAAATGATGTTTTTTTTTTTATATATTTATACTGTACAAAAATGAAAGTAAGTTCTTCCATCATCATTTTCATCACTATATACATCAACCTAAAATTATTGGGGATCATCTAATAACTTTCTGATACACCTAATGTTGACTTTGAGGGGCAGTTTAGACTAAAGGTTCATAAAACAAATTCTGATTTGCTGATGAAAGTTAGGTCGACATGTAAACCATAGCTATATAAAATATCAAACAGGCATAATATTTTGGGAAATTTTTAGATGTTTGTATTTGAGGTGATAATTTACTCTGTGCTATCTATTGAAAGCTGATTTACTGAGTGATTATGACCATCATATTTGATTAACAAAATATATTAACGGCTTATATTTTGTGACTTTTTTGCCCAACTATCACGTTCATTAATCTCTTTTACTTATGTGGCATTACAACGAAAACAATTTGTGTCTCCATTTTTTATATTTAATAAATTACTTATTTGTGCATACTTAATAATATCACTTGTTTTGAATTTTAGAGACATACAGAATTACTGGAGAGATAATGGAACCATCTTTGTTGACTAAAGAAGGTGACTGGACATGTTTAGTTTGCGATAAGCAATACCCTTGCTTTCTAGAACTAGAACTGCATATACAATTACACTTCACAGAAAAAAATGTTCGTACTGCAAAGGATAAACCAACATCCAAGTGTGATATCTGCCAGCAGTATTACTATTCAGAAGACGCGCTGAACCACCATATAAATGTCATTCACGAAACAAATTTGGCTGAACTAATGCTTTTGAAAGATAAGCGCCAAGAGAAAAATTGGTTAAATTCAGATGAACAACAAACACCAAGATCCTTTTATTGTAAAGAATGCAAGAAAATTTGTAATCTTGTGTTACACTTAAGAAAAAATATAGTGGCAGGTCCTGTGGATTATTTTGATTAGTTTGCAGTTTTTAAACATTGGCCACTGTATGAAAATTTTTATATAATTACTATTTCAATACTTATTAAAATTGTATTGTTATGTATTAAATGATTCATTTAACTGTTTAACTAGTAAAAAAAAAATGTTTGATGTTTTATTTACCTGTGTCCAACACAACAATATAGGCATGTAGATGTTCTGGACGATTTATTATAAGCTGAAAACTGAGTATTGCAAGTTGTATAATAAAGTTGTCTATAATAACAAAAACTTTTAATAATATATTAATATGCCAATTATAGAGAGCGATATGGGCTGATTTGATGGATTTCGACATCGCAAATAAATTAGAAAAAATTATCAAAATTTTAAAAGCCAACAAATTTTGAGAGTATCATTTATATAATATATAATTATATAATTTTAGATATTTTATTTCAGGGTATCAAAGTTATTGCTAGTAAAATCAAAACAGATATTACAAATTTGACAATAATATCTTTAAAAATGACAATATTACAAAGACTGAATACACGAATAGGCTTTCTCAATCAAAAAGTGAAATTTCTAAACCATTTGATATAAAAACTCTAGAGTATAATTTGATTTATTCATTTGCTTTTTTAAAAATAAATTTGATTACTTTTGTTATAGAATCATCCATCCTTCCATCAATAATACAAAAGGGATTACATTATATCATTCAATAATTGAAGAACAAACCAGTTCTAAAGATTCTCAAACAACTGAAGAATTATATGAAACTGCAGTTGACAAAACTCAAAGACAGTCTCTTGAAAATAAAATTTTAGAATTATATCATTCTACTGTATCATCAAGGTGGAACTTTGTATTTAACTGTCCTTAGAAATCACCTCATGTGTTAACAATACAATAGATATTTTTTTTATAAAAAAAAATATTATAATAATTGTAATGTATATCTGCAGTTTGAAAGGCATTCTTATTGTACATAGTTTTTATGTGCTTTCTAAATATTTTAATAGCATTTTTCAAGTTTGCATTAGGTCTTACCCACCAATAAAGTATATGAGCTTTTACCAATATTATGGGTAAAATATTAATCATGCTATGTTTTCATGAAAATTTCATTCAAATTGAAAAATCAGTATTAAGTATTCAGCGGAAAAGTACAAATACTAATTTTATACCACAATTTCATACTTTTATAGGATATATCTACAAAAATTATACATAGTAATAGTAGTAATAAATAACAATAAACTACACTCTCCTCTTGTTTTAAACATTGCTTATTTATAACATATTTGTTATTGTCATTTTAAAGAATTAGTTCACTATTTTTACAATGTCTGAAATTTGTCTACTGGATGGAAAAACTGCATCAGTCATTCAAACAAATAAATCGGAGCATTTTTATTATCCAAGTGTTCTCTGAGAAATAAATCTCAGTTATGTTTTAATAAGTATAGACTAGACTCAGAATCTAAAATCTAAAAACAATAAATAAATATACATTTTTTTATACATTTCCTATTTCATATAATATGGAGCAAATGAATTTTTGGTTTTTTTTTTTTTTTTAAATTGATTAAAACCACATATCCTTTAAAAAAAATAAATATATATATAAATGTATAACAAATCAATAGTTTATTAAAAAATATTCGATACACACTACACATTATGTAGTGTGCAGTAAATTTTAACATCTAAATAGGTGTGAGTGTTCATTAAATAAAGTATTAATGTTAATGAGGGTTTAATAATAAAATAGTAAACTACATATAGATAAAATTGTAAAAATTACATTTCAAGACTGAATTAAAATATTAATATAAATAAAAAAAATATATACATTTATAAAAAACATATTTATCAAATCAATAATTTATTTTATACAAAAAAAAAAAAAAATATTTGATTCAAACAACATAATATGTAGAGTGCAGTAAATTTTAACATCTAAATAGGTGTTAGTCTTCATCAAATAAAGTATTAATGTTAATGAGGGTTTAATAATAAAATAGTAAACTACATATAGATAAAATTGTTAAATTACATTTCAAGACTGAATTAAATTATTAATATAAATAAAAAAAATATATACATTTATAAAAAACATATTTATCAAATCAATAATTTATTTTACACATAAAAAAAAAAAAAAAAATATTTGATTCAAACAACATAATGTGTAGAGTGCAGTAAATTTTAACATCTAAATAGGTGTTAGTCTTCATCAAATAAAGTATTAATGTTAATGAGGGTTTAATAATAAAATAGTAAACTACATATAGATAAAATTGTTAAATTACATTTCAAGACTGAATTAAAATATTAATAATATGAATAATAAAAAAAAAAATACATAAATTTAAATTTAATTTAAAATCTTTTCCATAACCAACTTTGAAATTCATATATGATTTTAGAAATCACATTTTAACATAAGTGTTTAATATAATCCAAAAACAGAATGAAATGATCATAAACTTTTCATTGCATTTAAACTAGTTAAATACAATTTTATTGGTACAATGACTATTCTTCAGAATGTTAGTTGAGGTATAAAGTTTAGGTTACCATTATGATAAACCGAAATGTTCAATGAATTAACCCCATTTATCTTGTGAACATGGAAAAATATAATTTTTAAGGTTAACCATTCACATGAAAACAATATGGATATGTTTGATTCGGTCTCTATGAACATATAATCTTTGATGTTTTGGTTATTGGGATCCAATGCTTGTGCATAATTCACACATGTGGTGCGATCCAAATTGTCTGTAGACACAGATACTTGGTAGGCATCAAGGGATTGAGAGCCATTATTTTCATGTCTTACCAATTGTTTATTAAAATCTGATTTTAACATAAAAGCGTGGTAGGCATCTATAAAACTTTCAATGTTATCAGAAGATTCTTTTATACTATGCAACACATATTGACTCATACAACAATCTTTCAACATGTATTGAATGCAAAATTCTTTTTTGATTTCATCTAAATCAAAATTGCTCATTAGTTCAACACATTCATTGAATTTAACATTTAGAGCGGTTGCTTTTTCCATTATGTAATCAATAGAAAATTGTATCAACAAACAGTCAATGTTAATTTGTGATTTATGCAGAAGGTCTAGCATATATTGACCACACAAAATCGTTTTTACACTTCTTTCTTCATTACATTTCAGTGAAATATTATCAACAATATGTTTTAACAAATCATTTGAATTTAATGATTTCCTTTTATTAATGTAGGAATCTAAATATTTTTGAAAATATTTATAGGCAAATAATAACCTTTCTTTGGTAAGGTTACTCTTTAAAAATTTTGTAACTTGACTCATAAATTCCATAAAGTGTTTCTTTATAAATCCAACACTTTGAAACCAAAGTTTACTCAGGTGATAGGGAAATGCTGAGACTTCTCTGAAGTATATTCCTGTAGTAACATTACCTAAAATTACCTAGAAAAAAAGACATGTTAATATAGACTTTGTTTTGAACAAATTTACTGCATCTCAAGAAACACTCAAGTTACAATCTCAGATAAAAGTTTACATACAATTAGCTATTATTAATTTAATAGTACTTATGT